GGGGGGCAGGCGCCCGGCTCCGGCGCTGCCTCCATTGCCAGGCTGCAGGGCGGCACCGCCAGGACTCGAACCCGCGTCCGGAGACGCCCCCCTTGCCCGACTTGCGCAGGCGCAGTGCGGCACGGCCGCTCTCCCCGTGCCGGCCTTAAAGGGGCCGCAGCCCCGCGCCGCCCAGAAGAGCGGAGGGTGCTGCCACACGAAAACATTTTATTTAATTTTATGTCATTTTATTTAAATCCTGCGTCTGCTCGACGGTGACAGATGAAATCTACGGGTTCGTTAGCTTCGGAGGAAAGGAAATGGAAACAAAATGAGACATGCGTTGCAGCCCTTCCAGCCCCAGGGTGCCCCAGCTAAAGCCAAGTGGGACCCAGGTTTCGGTGTGCACAGCATCAGTCCCCAACAGGGTCCACCAAAGGCAAGAAAAAGAGGGTCATTTTAGACACGGCAAGAGCTAGTGTAACAAGATTTGGTGCCTGGGTTTTTTTTCAAAAACCACCTCAAAAAGCTGAGCAGCATTTGCAGCTAGTTCAGTATTTCAGTTATTCAAGAACAGAAACAAGCCAGGGAGGAATTCCAGGTGAGAGGAGGGGTCAGTACTGACAACGGTAAAATAAAACACATCTTAGATGGACAAATACTTACAGTGTGATGGTGTCAGACACCCAGCTACCCTGGTCTCTTATTTGTGCCCACATGTACTGTTTTGGGGTGACACTACCCTGTGTGCTGATCTGTCAGAGCCTAGGGGAAGTGACCACCTTGTGCCCATTGGGAGGAATGGTCCCTCTGGTGTCAAAGTAGCAGCGGCTGAATCATCCTTCAGCGCCCCAGTTTCAGCAAACACACATACTAAGGGTACAGAAAGTGTCCTACAGATGTGCCTGTCTTACCTATTTGGCCTTCCTGTTGTTCTTCCCAAGGAGCAGCCACATCCCGCTCCTCTTTGGAGGGGGCTCTGTCTTGTACCTAGCAGCAAGAGCACATGGATAAGCAAGAAACATCCTGAGTGTCCTCTTACTCTCCAGGTGGGCAGCTGCCAGGCACATCCACCTGAGCAGGAGCCAGTCCTGCTGCTGCCCTCGGGGCCAGGCTCAGCTCAGAACAGAGGATCCACCTGTCTGGGGTCACCTTCTGAGCTCTGCATCAATTGACTGGCAAAAGCTGGGGGAAAAGCACTCACAGAAACAGGCCAGCCAACACCACCAGGTGCTCGGTGGAGGGAGCCTGCAGTTACCAACACACTGTGGTTTGAAGATGCCTTGAAACTAGCAGATTACAGACAGGGAAGTAGTTTTTATTCCTGAGAAATGCTGTTAGTTCAGGAGACCGCACACACAAAGACTGTCCCTGCAACAGCGGCACAGCAGCCCAGCCTAGGGCTGTCTCTGGTTTCAGCTCCAAGGGTACACCCTGGACCAGCAGTGCCCAGGCTGGGAATCTGGAGCCAAAACAGTGTCAAAACTTCAGACAACAAAGGTCTCCAGGCTGATGGAAGATTTATACAGCACCCTAAAGAAGTCATTGGTGCCACGGCAGTGGGGAGCTGCAGCTTTCCTCTGGCACACACATCTACAGATACTGGGACTGAAGGATTCAGTGGCTGGTTACCACCTCACGCTCTCCTCCATGCTCTAGAACCTTCCTTTTCACCGCCAGCTGCTCCAGGATGGTTTTCCGCAGCAACGGTGCATTCGCTCCTCTTACAACAGCTACCAGTTCTCCTCCCTGAAAGGTGTGAAAACCCAGACAGTTGGTAAGTGTAAAACTAACAAAAAACCCCACAAAACAGCATTATGCCATTTCTTGGTGGTAAAGGAGAAGGTATTTAAACGCAGACTCTGGCTGTATATTCTTATCCATGATGTCCTTGCTCACCAGTGGATAACAGCAGATATAGAGCAAATAAAGTTGTCCTGTCACACATGAAAGAAAAAGTACCCCTCAACAAGGACAGTTGTACCCACTGGCAAGTCATGTTTACTGCTATACAACTACTACAAAAACACTATCACTCACTGCATAGAACAGAAAGACAGGCTCGCATTTTCCTCTGTATTGTTCCAGAGCATCAATGGAGTCAACTTCAGCCTAGGAGGAATGTAAAACAAACGTGTTACTGGAAAAGCATCTGCCAGCAATGGAGAGCTGCCCTTCAGCCCAGCAAGGCGTTCAGACACAAAACCAGCACAGCTGAGGAGGGAGGACTCCAAAGCCCCTCCAGTCCAACCCCTGCCCACAGCAGGACTGCTGAAGGCTGCACTAGTTTTATGTCCAAGGATCAGAGCTCCACAGCTTCTCTGGGAACCTGTCCCAGTGTCCAACCAGTCCTGCACTGAATACCTTCTATCTATGTGGATTTTTGCTCTGGTGCAACTTGGTCCCACTACCTGTTGTTGTTCTGCAGCATACCACCAAGACATGTCTGCCTCTGCCTTCTCTATCAGTTCCCCCTGGACATCTGTCCCTTGGTCTTCTGCTCCCTCAGACTGTACATAGAGGGACACCTACGTCAGTGATTCTGTCTAACAGTACTTAAGCAGAAATCTGAAAAGTACAGAATAATTGAATCTTGAAAATTCCTAATGATAGGAGTTCTTATTGATGTAACCACGTGTCTGCGCCTGCAGGCTCATTCACACAAGCTGGAATTCCTGGACTGTTATAATTTTGGCTGAATATTGGAAAGAAAAATGAATTCAGCCTTTAGTTAGCTGTTAATTTCAGGAGACCAGTTATTTTAAACAGTGCCAAATTAGATCTTACCACAGCAAAATGGAGGAGGTCACTGCCAACTTCATTCCTCACTTTTCGGAAAAGATCCACGACTGTTTTGCATGGACCACACCAGGCTTGAAATGCATCAACAACTGCAAGCAGGAAAACCAGTGAGAACGAGGCCAAAATGGACCAGTTTAGAGACAGACCAAGAGGTTGGCTGGAGCGCCATAATAATTTGGGAGTGCACAAGGCTGCCAGTGCAATAAGAACCCCGAGAACCTCTGAGCATTGAGATCTCCTCTGGTGGCCTCTGCAGCTCCACCTCCTGGGGAAGGAGGTTTTCCTCATGGCCAACCCGTTGCTGTTGCTCTGTCTGGAGCCTGGCAGGACTCCTGTTGAGCACTAGAGGGGTTGTGGATTTAATTCTAAATAGAAACTGTCAATAGAAACTTTCAAATGCTAGATCAGAGGATGAAATGACATTATCAAATAAGCTAAAAACAATGCTACAGAGGAGTCCTTAGAAGAAGTATTGACAGAAGAAAGATTTCCTAGGGAAAACTGCTGCGCAGAGGTAGAGCATGAGGCTCACCTCATCCCTCCAACCTGCACCCCTGGGAACCAGGGCTGTTCCTGGCATTGAGGATGATCACAGGGGGCTGGAGACTCCACTGCTGTGATTGCATGATAACTGTCCCACGTCACTAGGAAGACCACGACGTCCAGCCCGTCTCACCTCTGTTAGTGTATTTCTCACTTCCACTCAGGGCAAGAGGAATGCAGGAACTGAATGAACATCAGTAGTCACTGATTCCTAACAGTCCTAGAGTCCATTCAACGTAGAATAAAAGCAATCTCATATGTTGACCAAGCCCTTACCAATGAGTCCTTTGAGACACAGCATTTCTTCCCAAAGCTCCTGGCTGTTGATGTTAATCTGTGTGAAAATTCAAGAACACAGTAAAAGCAACAGTTAAATCACCAGGTGCTGCCCGAGTGCTGCAGACACTGACAAAATACTGCCTGCTTGCACATCAGATGCACTCTTTTGCTGTGTTCCTCTCCCCTCTGACCAGCTGGGCACGGCCAAGCTGTGCTAGAACATGGCTGGAAAACCTCTGAGAAAACAACAGCCGAATTCAGATATCCTCATTCCCAAACCCTCATTCCTTCACCGTGCCCTTGCTACTGCCTGACACCAGCTGTCTCAGACAACACCCACCAAGCAAGGCAGCCAACACTGTAGAAAAACGTACCGCATTAGAAAGTAAATTTAGATTGTCTCACAAGAGCCAGGGAAAGCCAGACAGAAAGAGCAGCAGCACCCAGGCAAGAGTCTTTTAATTGCCTCCCCTTTTAGTGGCAGTGACTATTTGAGCAGCCTGGCTGCTTGAGGAACCCAGCCTCAGCTTGCACAGAGACCAAGAGCTGTTTGGGGAGACGGCCCCTGCATCTTATCAGGGCATCAGACTGACCAGAGCCCTGGCTGGACCTACCAGACTGTGTTGTGGATGGCACAAGAGGGAAGGTCTACAGAACAACCACACAACCTCGGGTTTTTCCTGGCACTCTCCTGCTTTTGTGATAGCACAAGCCTTTGTGGAGCCACACAAGAAGATCTGAGACCGGGGAAGGGCTCCAGATGTCCCTCCTGTGCCCTGCCTTACCATACAGGTGTGCGGGTACCAGAAGGGCAGCAGGATGAGGGACCCGAGCTCCCTCGCTCAGCAATGCACCAGAGAAGCAGCACAAACTGCTGCTTTGCTTTCACCGAAATGGAAGTCTGCCATAATGATGCTTTAACACAGCCCAGCAGCCAAAATGGTTCAGAGCCACTGGTTCCCCATGTGGATCACAGCACGAGAAAAGCAGACCTGGAGGAAAGCCACACAGCCACCAGCACCCACGGAGCTGACGTCAGAGCCAGCACCAGGCCCAGAAACAGCGGTGAGGTGGTGGTCAGGGCTGCCCTGCAGAAATCCCAGTGCTGCTTCAACCTCCCTCTGCACCTCACAGCACTGCCTCTGGGGGACAGATTTGACTGCCATGGTTCCTGCCCACCTTGGGGAAAGCTTTTCCACCACAAGGCCCTCACAGGAGGGCTTTACCAGCAAAATCTGAGATACCCCAGGACTGAACTTCATCCTTTGCATCTGCCACGAGTTTAAAAGATGCATTAAAAGCCTGGCTCCTACTGACCTGCTGGACCACCTCCTTTTTCTTTGCAGCCATCCTTCTGCAGCAACACGAGTCCTTTCAGCAGCAGCCCCAAGCACTGCAGATGTCCTCTTATTATGTGAATCCAGCTGCTGGCCAACCTGCACCAGAGAAAGCCTTATACTCGTTTTTCTCTGCTCCTCCACCCAGGACACATTGCCCACAGCAGCAGCCCTGCCCTGCTGGCTCAGCAGTGTCCAAAGCCAGGACACAGCTCCGCAGGGCCCGAATTGCTGCTCACTTGGAGACACAGCAGCCCCTCCTCCTCACCTATGAGGGTGGCAGAAGCCAATGGGTCTCAGCCAGGGCCTGGCTGTACCCGTATGTTGGCTGGCAGCACCCCAATGCTGCCATGGCAGCCCTGGCAGCGTCAGCCCAGCCCGCCCTGCTCCCTTCTCAGCGCCCGCTGCAGCCGGGCAGTTCAGCTCCATCTCCCCTGCAAGACCCATTCAAGCAGCAGCAGCTGTATCTGGAACACCTCTGCCTCATCTGTGCCTGTCAAACCTGCCCAACTCCCCCCAGCCCACTGCAAACATCCTATCCCCCCCACCCCATCTTCCCATCCCTCTTAAATGAGGGGCTCAGAACCTGGCACAGGATCCAGACACTGAGCAGGGGGGATGAGCTGCTGGCCCCGTTCTTGGAGGCTGGCTGGGGTTTTTATCTGCAGTGAGAGCGCAGCATCCCCCAGGGCCATGACCGTTTGGGCAGGGCTGCTGCTCACCACGGCCGGGGTCACCGAGCTCCAGACGCAGACCTTGGAGATGCTTCTTCTCACACAGGACACGATGTCTGGCGGCCTGGTCCTCCCCCTGGTCGAGGTCCCTCCTGGCTGTGGATTCAGCTTTTGGCACATCAACTCCCCTGGTGCCATCCAAGGGGATGCTCTGCAGTGCCACCAAGGGCAGGGCTGAGCCTTGGCAGGGGCTCCTCTGCCTCCAGCATCAGCTCAGACCAAACCACACCCCAGGCTGCCCCCAGCAACCGCCTCCTTCTGTAGAAATGAGGTTCCAGTGAAGTCCTGATGACATGAACCACAGCTGAGATTTCGCATGTTTACAACCACCATGTGCTCACATTTTAGGATGACCAAAGAAAGTCCTGTTAAACCCATTTCTGGTCTTCAAGAATCTATTCTCATGCATCTCAATTATTCCACTGCCTGCTGGGTCACTGCTTCAGCAGCTTCACGGAGGTGCAGCATCTACTGCAATGGCTAAAGTGTGTAAAAATACATTTTAAAACCATGAGATGTTTGCCTGAAGAATGTACTGGCACGAGATGCTTCTCAGCAGGCCACTTAGCTCCTTTAAGCAGTGCAATGCAAAGCTGTGACTGGAAAGACAGTCAAATCCAAATTCTCATTAGACTTCATGTGGGAGAAATTACTCCAAATGTGGACTGGAGGTGGTGTGGAGCAACTGATTCACCACTTGTCCGATAACCAGCATGCCCAACTCCATGCAGAAATACTCCCTTTTTGTCACCCGAGAAGGACTATCACATCCCTGGACCCTCTCATTAGAGATAAAGAGTGGATATACTGATCCAAATTGTTTAGGACTGGTTTTCAGGAAGAGAAATTGTTCAGGAACAGGAGAAATCCCAGTGATTTGTCACATAACTTCCGTTCTGCAAGCAACCCTGTAACTCAGATGGTGCTGGAACCTAAATAAAGTTGGTATAGATCTGGCCGACCAGCACTGTGAAGATGAGGGTAAGCAACTGCAGCCTGCAGACAGGCTGGCACAGAAAGCTGGGATTTCTCCAGGAAGTTCAGGAAAACCTGGGAGTTCTGGTAAAGTTCTTTTTATTTACAGTATTCCTCTTTTTGTACATACCTATTGCAACATCAAAGTTATTCACAAAGCTTAACTGAATGTAAAAATGTTCTCATCCAACAGTTTGTCCTGTCAGTACCTGTGGGAAACGTTAACTGTTCTCATGCAGCAACGAGATTGTCTGAGAATCGTTTTTAGTTTTTCTGGCAGAGTTTTAGGAAGTCGCCTCAAAACATGTACACAGATACTTACTCACCTTTTTGCTGAACACCTTTAGGCACCGAAGTTTTATAGAATGAAACTCATATTTGCCTTTAGAAGCACAAATTGGGGGAGGATGAGGAGAAAAGATATGCAAGAACTCGAGCTGCTCCTGAACATACACAGCAGGATGTAAATGTAGATGTCAGATGCACACTAAGTTTTGTGTTTACAATACCTGCCTCAGAAATTTCCTCTCTGTTGAAGCAAAAATAGATTTGATTGAATTTTATAAAGAAGACTTAATTTCTGAGGTACTGATAGTTATCAAGTTCTCACATATTTTTACTCTCCCATTTGTTCAGCCTTCAAAGCTCACAATGAAACTTTGCAGAAGGACATTAAAAAACTGCCAGTCACTTACTGCAATGCCTGGGGAAAAAGTGTCAGGTGCTCGCTTTTATTTGTGTTTCAAGAGTGGAAGAAGTTACATGAAATGTATAAATTCTCCTTTGCAACCAAGTGATAACAGTTATCTGGTACACAGCACATTCAAATTCCAGGCCAAACTGCGGTCACATTTTCTAACATAAGTAGTTACCTTGGAAAAAAGTAAGGCTATCACAATTTGACCTTCTGATTAGAAATATACTTATCAAAATTGGTTAGCAAAGTTACAGACCCCTCTTCTCGCTGCAGCCTTCCTGAAGTTCAGTATCACAGAAGATTTGGTTTAAGACATCGGCTGCAATCTTTAGTGTGCCTGTTAGTGCTATGTAGATAGAGTGTTTGGAGAGCCTGCCTGTTAAAATCAGCTGAAACCAGAAAGTGGATCGGGAAGAAAGCAGGAACCCTGCACCTCATGAAAGAGAGCTCCTTGCTGCTCTCCTTTGACTCCTGAAGCCCCTGGGGTCTCGTACTCCAGCCTCACCACACACAGTTGTCCTCACTTGTACCCACATCTTTCTCTCCACTTACAGGCACAATTTCAGGAACTTATGGACAACCTAGGCTTCTGAACGCAGTCAAATCCCATTGCTTATTATCCAGGTATCCAAATCCATGCAAGTGTGTATATCTGCACATATACACAAAATGTGTAGCCACATTGCTGAGCAAAACAAACCCAGTGAACCCCAAACCTCAATTCTTCCATCCCTTCCCCAACTTAATGCACCCATCTTTCACAGAGGTCATCTGTAAGTCACTTAACTGTATCTGGAGGTAAAGGATGCAAACCAAGAGCAATCCCTTAGTCACTGCTTGCCAGCTCCTTCTGATCTCCTCTAAGTTGGACTTGTGCAACATCTGTCCGCTCTACTGGTATCAGTGGTCAGCACACACTTATCATCAGTGGAATAAGCTAATCCTGCAGCAAAGCCAACAGCTAACACTGAATCTTGAGCTGTTCTTCCACAAATGTAAAGAAACAAGCGAATCCACCTAACCCGTTCCATGGATCGGAGCACGTCAGCAGTACCAGGCGATCTCGTATGGCAGTAAAACGCTAACTCTTGGACCTTGTCAGTACAGAATGCGCTGCTTAGAATTTGGGCTCTACAGTCTCCCTCTATTTTTCTATTTAAAAAGGAAGTATAATGTAAGTTAAGCTGAAGTTCAGAAATGCATATATTTTACTTAAAAACATTCATCTGTTCAAAATTCAAAATAAACTTTATGGGATACAACAGTTTGTATTTTTTTAAATAACATTTCATTCAAACTGTATATAATTCATTGAAGTATTCGTACAGCAAACAATGCTTAACGCTTGAAAACCTGTAGAAAAAGATTTTCACACACAAAAAAAGGAAAACCAAAATTGAGGTATTACACCCACACGCATTCACCCCAGCACACACACACACACACACACACACACACACTCTCGAGCACACCCACCCCCACACACACCCACACACGCAGGCTGCAGCAAAAGCAGAAAATTGTAGGCCCAAAAGGAAAATGACGACTGATTGTTCAATCCAAAAGTCCAGGTAGCTCAGGAAAAAAAACCCCAAAAAACCAAAACAACCCCCCAAGAGTCCTCTGAGTTAAAGAAACTACCTCAAGAAAGTTCTCAAGTGCGCTGGAGACCTGATCATTTCAACTGTTTCTGCAAAGCAGCTCCCTGCACCTGAGAAAAATGCAGCCCAAGGTGACTTGTGCAAATACAAGGAGTCAGGAACATCTCCTGCTATTCCTTAAGTAGACATGAGGGGTGTCCATAGGTTCAATTAGTCTTTGATCATGCGAGATACTGCTGGAGTGCTGTCTTCGCCCTGCAATAAAAGAACAAACTGTTAATTTTGGGCATTGGCTTTATCACCAACAGCTTGATGTACAAGACCATGCATTAAACAGTGAGAGAGGGAGGATGGATGGGTGAGGTAAAAGGAAGCCGAGTGGGCAGCTGCTTCAGAATAGAAGAATCTGGCGTTTTGCAGGGGTTGTAACAACTGAAGAATCTACCTTGCATCTAAGCATAAGATGATCTAACCAAGTGCATTCGATGCTCAGCATAAACTGAGCAACTTGTAAGTATGGTGGGGCTTAAAATGTTTACTGAAGCTCATTATCAACAAACAGAAAAACCTTAAGAGCAATAATTGTGAAGAGCAATTATTTTTCCGTAATACAGATGTACCATGAAGAGCAGGTCTTTGAGCTGAGAAATGACAGAGCTGTCACAACTCAGACCACATAGAAGCACGTCAGTCCTGTCAGGAACACCAGCTTTACCAAAAACACACGTGAGGCGAAAGGGAGAAGTGACTTTTCTTCATACTCACTTGTCACACAGATTTGGATCCGATGACTGACTCAACTTATGTAGAATATCTACTATTCCCAAGTCTCGTAGTTTATCCTGGCGTTCTTGTGAACCTACAACAACAAATCACATTGTTGGGAACACCACCAAAAATCAACGTCTGCAGAACAGAGAAAGGAGCAGTAACAGAAACTGAGCTTAACGAAGGGGAATGGAACATGGTTCAGTCAGAACAGCAATGGAAAAATTCCTTCCCAAGGGTGCTCTATTCTTTTTTATACTCCATGTGCATATGTTTAAAGAACAACAGTTCAAGGCAAAAATCTGAACATATTTCATCCTAAAGCAAGAAGCCTGACTCCAGGTGGTTTATTCTCATCTCTGATTTGGATGCAGAGAACACGTAACTGGAGGGGTGTTTCTGAGTCTGACCTGTAGCACCATATAATGCCAGTCACAGTGAGCAGAAAGCCACCAGAGGCATAGCAAAGGGTCACACAGCCCAAGTTCTGTGAGCTGAGAGATGTCAGTAGAGGAGAAAAAACACCAAACACAAAACCAAACCAAACACAAACCCAAGCAGAGACACTGATTTCTTTGCTGAAGAGCAGCATGGTAAATTGGAGGGTCCGTAACACATCCACCTAGGAAAGATCTCCTCCCAGCCCCACCATTCCTCAAAGCACATCTCCTCCACCACCCCTTCCCTTGCTGTTTCTGCCAGCTCCACACTGCTGCCTTCGTCTGTCCCCTCCACCCCTCACCACACACACACACACTTATTCTGTGCAGCAGCATCCTTCAGCTCCCTCCTGGTTGGTTCCCTTCTGTTGTTCCAGGCTGCAGCTCTTCTTACCAAACACCTTCCCCATTCCTTCCAGTTCCACCTACAAGTCCTTTAACTGGTTTCAGATTATCACCACGCATTCGAGCCATCCATGCTGGGGAAAATTTCCTTGCCACAAATTACCCTTCCAATCCATTTATCCTTTCCAGTGAACCTCTTCCCTCCAACACTTAGTTTCCTCCTTAAGATTTGGAAGCTCTCCTACCAAGATTCTCTTTCGCTCCAATTGTTTTCAGACTTCACAGAAATGCTACAGGTAGAAACCTGCCCCTGTGTGACTCTCACCAACTCCTATTGTGGACACCATCTCCTTGTGTCTCCACAACAGCTCTCTACACCTCCCTCAGTGTCCTCCTGGCCACACTCACTTATTCCATATTTTACCTACAATCGTGCTTCATGCTTTGGATCCCCCTGTGCTGTGCACTGCAAATATTGATTACTGTGCAACACCAGCCTTTTCATCAGCATAGTAACTCATATGTGTATTAATAACGAGGCTTTCTTACCTTCTTCTTCATTCCATATGAGATTAGATATACAGAACATGGCAGCAAGCTGAAGTTTAGCATTTGAATGACTCTATATATAGAGAAATAGAACTCAAGTTTAGAAGAAAAATATAGAAATTCTCAAGAGTTACATTTTGGCATTCATTCTGTAATAAATAAGGTGGCAAAGTTGGGACTGATTCTTATCTACAACTTCTCTCAAAGACAGTGCCATGACATAAAGCACATGAAGAGGAAACAATTCCTTCCAAATATTTATTGAGGTCTACAAGAGACACCTTTGCCAAGATCATGAAATGTTTTCCATGTAGAGTTGTTACAAGCATTACTTAAGTTATTCTGATGGGAAGTAATGACTGGATTTTCCTTTTTTAATCAGATCCTCAGTACACTTCTGTCATACAGAACTGCACTGTGTGGTTTCTTAAACACAACTGAGTGTACGAAAGTTAAGTGCACAATACTGAGTAATTTACAAGACAAAACGCTAAAGTAACTTCTTCTCATTCCTGTGAAAGACCAACATAAAGCCTTCAACAGAAATTCCCCGTACCATGTAGTATTTGATTTTCTGCAGGATGTCATCATTGGTCATGATGAGCTCTTTTGCTGTCGTTCCATCTGCTATATTGGCAAGTATACATAATGTCTGAAAGAGAGAAAAACGGTTACGTTATTTGGCAACAGATTGTATCTCATGATTTATACAGTTTTCCTGATAGCTCTGATCTTGTGACAAAATTTCTTTAACCAGTTTTAATATCTTTAATCTGGAGTTTCCAGCTTGTTTACATCTGGGGCCAATGCTAAAGAGTTAACAGCTGTGGAGAACAGCCCTGGAAAAAACAACAGCCATTGCCATTTGAAAACAGAAAGCAACATCCATTAATTCATGTCAATGGGTAAAATGATGTGTGTCTGATGGAAATATGCAGCATATAGAAACAAGTAAATACACCGGAATATAAAGCATCCTCTTCTGCATCAGTGGCTAGAGACAAAAACCCAACCAAACCTATCCCCCTAGTTCTTCAGACCAGGAAGAGGACAGACAGAGGCCTAGCTGCTGATTTAGCTGAGTAATCGCTGGTTTTTCACCAAGTCTAATCACACATCTTACCTGCAGAGGTAACTCAAACTAACACATATGGTTATTTCCTTCAAATCAGAGAAGGAGCCTGCTGAATAATCTCAAAGCACCCAGATGGCATTAAACCTGCACAGGCAGCTTTCCTGCTTCTCAGGAGGCACTGGGAGATGCTCTACAAATGCTTTCCCAAGGAGTTGTGGAAGAACTCATCCATCCTTTCTAGACACGCAGGGATGACAACAGGAGGACACTGGAGAGTGATCAGCACTTGTGTGGTGCCTGTGTCCTGTGCTGTACTGCATTCATGTCAGCAGCTGCAGGGACTTATTTTTTCCAAATAAGTGTGCTAATTACACACTCATGAGCCAGTCAGTGACTGAGACAAGCAGAGTCCTGCCAGAAGTACAGGCTCTTGTGTGCTGATGGGCAACACTGGATGTATGACTTGACTCTGAAATAAAAGCTGCTGATCTCACCACAGGGACAAAGAAAATGCTCTGTGTATAAAGGCCCCAAGCCCTACAGGCTGTATTCAGCCCCAGTCCACCTGCCCTTCCCAAGAGTATTTCTGAGGTACAATGATTCTCCTCCAAGATCATTCTGAGAGGCGTAGCAAGGTGAACAACTTTCTGTTGCAAAGGCTATTCCTGTCACTGGAGCTTTATCAGGAAGAGCTATTTAGAAAGACAGCACTGGCTAATTCTCAGATGTTTCAGAACCATGGCATCACTAAACTTGCTATCCATTAAGAGTCTTTGGGGTTGGTCTTTTTTTTTGCTAATTTTGCACTTAAATAACCATAAAAGACCTGTCTGCCTCCAGCTCATCCTTCACTTAAGATTCAGACCAGTCTGGATTTCGCAGTATTTTTACACTCATTTCCAAGCTGTTTGCTACCAATATCCCACACTAAGCCAAAGTAAACCTCTGCAGTCTCCCACAGCTTCTCACTGCCCCCATTTTTCATCACCACATGCCCTGTATGAGGAAGAAACGGGGCTCTCCAATTGACTGTCTTACCTGTCACAAGAGTTAATCAGCCAAATTCTGCCCATCTATCCTCTCACTTTTGTTTTAGCATCCCCACAGCAGATACCCCTGTGCACTGGTCCCCTTATGCAGCCACCAAGCCAGGGATGCTTTCCCTGCTGGCCACTGCTTCTTTCCTTCTCTATTTCCTCTTGCATATTGCTTTTCTTAAGCTGTCATTTCTGAGGGCATGTTCCTCCCCACTTGTTCCTGGGCTACAGCAGCGTGCTCTTTTCCCTGCTACTGCTTCTCCTCTCATTGCTGCTGCCATCTGCAGGCACCAAGAACAGCTGAGTTTCCACATCTCACAGCAGAACGTGTATCATGCCAGCGAGGCAGGAGGTGATGGCATTCTTCATTACTGACTGCTCCAACAGCTGCTTTAGCAACAAATAACCATGAAGCTTTCCCCAGTGTGATGTACTGGCTTCTTTCTCTTCCCTTATTCACACTGTCCCCTTTCTGCCATGCCATTACCTTAGATTTAATTTTTCTGCTCTCATATACAGTACCCTCCTCTGCCAAATCTACATTCAATACACATTTTGAATTCAGTTAAAACATGTTTGTAAAAATCCATTAAAGAAAAGCATTCTTGTAGGTACTAAAGTGATTAAACAGACAGATTAATTAACATTCACAGCACACCATAATCCCAAAGATGACATGTTAAGTCTTCATAGCTGTTTCTTATTATGTCAAAAATACAAAACAAAAAAGGGTACCTGCTCTTTGACTTCTATGTTGTGCTCCCCTTCCAGAATGAGGGTCACTGCTTGCATGATTTGCTTCCCATGAGTGCTCATTATATGGTCTATGTGCTGCCAAAGCAATGAGGAAATACAATCAGCATAACTCTCCAGATCAAGAAGCAGCATTCCTACTTGAATTACTTTAAGAGTAGCATCACTGCACAAAGACCCTAGCTCCTAACAGCTTTGGAGGCCTCCCAAAACCAAGAACCCATTACAGCCGAAGCCCCTAATAATATTCCTCTTCATGTGAAGCCTGGTCTTGTTTGAGAGAGCATGATATGGGCCTTGGTGCTGCTTTCCCTGTAACCTGTGGAAAAGACTCTGGTTTCCAGCTGCACGAGGCCAGTCTGAAGACTGAATCCTGCTGA